TTCTAAATCTATTTCCTTATATATATATATATATATATATATATATATATATATATATATATATATAGCTTAGTATAAAACTTCGCTAGCTAGATGTCATACAATAAATAAAACTGATATGACGGGATAAATAGACAAAATCACATGGTCTTTGGCCAACATTACTTTTGGTTTTCATTTAGTATAAGGATTACTCAACATAAGACTTGTTTTATTTTCAGGATGATATTTTACGCAGTATTATATCGATTTATTTTAGTCTAATGTTTGTTCAAAACACGATAGTCTTATATTAAATTAACATGAACTATAGTTCAGTATGACATTCAGAATGTGATTTGTTATAATGCTGGGCATTTCTTTGTAATATTTGTGATTTTTCAAATATAATTGGAAACTGGAGGCCTGTTTGAACATCTGGGCTACCTGTTCCTGCCATCCAAATATCTCAACAACTTAGCCAATTTTGTTTGTTTCAATACATCATTACGACTATTAATCGCATAACCTATTTAGATGCGTTTCTGAGAAGTGTAAAACCTTTCCTTGTATAGGTTACAAAAGGCCCAACCAGAGATATCATGGGTGCTGGCAATATACAGCGAAAAAAATTTACATTATTTAGATGTCGGTTTATTGAACTGCTAACTTTTAACTGGTGATCACTCAACATTAATCGTCAGGATCGACTAAGAAGCAAGAAACGGAAACTTGTTGAAATACTTTGTACTGAGAATTTTATATTGCACTAAAAATATAATATTGAATAAAGCTAATGACAATAAAAAAATCAATATATGAATGAGTGTATTTATACCTAGGATAATCGTGTTTATTTTAACTCCGCCTGTAGCTCCTATGGGGGTTGTTGCCAGTCCCAAGCCCGGGTAAAGGAGGAGGGTTGGGCATGGGGTTAGCGACCCCATCCCGTAGAAAATCAACTCGCTAAAAAAACGCTAACCAGAAAAAATCATTCAAACCTTTCAAACTCTGCCCTGGGAGTAGAAGGACCAATTATGATGTCTCATGATGAAAGCCGAGCTCCTTCGGAAGTCATGAGGCCGATGCACCTTCTTACAACCAGAGCGACAATTTTTATAGGTACATGGAATGTCCGAACAATGTGGGAGACCGGAAGAGTTTTCCAAATTGCTGCAGAAATGAGAAAATACAACCTGGAGGTTCTTGGAATCAGCGAAACACATTGGACGCAGGTTGGACATCAACGACTGTTTTCAGGAGAACTTCTGTTATACTCCGGTCATGAAGAAGAAAATGCCCCACATACACAAGGAGTTGCATTGATGCTGTTCAGAAAAGCACAAAATGCACTTATAGGATGGGAATCTCATGGACCAAGGATCATCAAAGCCTCCTTCAGAACAAAGAGAGAGGGCATTACAATGAACGTCATCCAATGCTATGCGCCGACCAATGACTACGATGAAGACGCTAAAGACCAATTCTACGAAAGGCGGCAGTCGATCGTCGAGAAGTGCCCAACCAAGGACCTGACAATTCTGATGGGAGATTTCAATGCTAAGGTTGGAATGGACAACACTGGATACGAAGACGTCATGGGACAACATGGATTGGGAGAAAGGAACGAAAACGGTGAGAGATTTGCAAACCTATGTGCCTTCAATAAACTGGTCATAGGTGGCACCATATTCACACACAAAAACATACACAAAGCCACTTGGATTTCACCGGATCACACTACACAGAATCAAATCGACCACATCTGCATCAACAAAAAGTTCAGAAGGACGATGGAGGATGTGAGAACCAGAAGAGGAGCTGATATAGCATCCGATCATCATTTGCTGGTCGCCAAGATGAAACTAAAACTCAAGAAGCACTGGACAACGGTGCGGACAACATCACAAAAGTTTAATACGGCCTTTCTTCGAGATGCTGACAAACTCAACAAATTCAACATATTGTTATCAAGAAATTTAAAATCTTTTCACTGAGGAAAGCTACAAGGTGGTGATAACATATGTCCTAAAATCTTGAAATAGTGCACGGCCGACATTAGATCACATCGATTCGCAAGAGAATGAAAGCATACAACTCTCTTTCAAATGTTGAAAAGGGCAGTTAGGAACGGTACAACCTGCCACAGACAAGTGGCACTACTCTCGATAAAAATGAAGATAATGGGAGAACTTGTCTATGTATAGATGAGGATACACACGGATCAGAACGACGTGACGCCTTACATGGGTTCACGAAAAGCATTTCCTGAACGTCCAAACTTCTCAAAGCATGAGACTAAATGATACCGGTCCATGCTATATTTCATGACCTGAACAATCCTTCGGTACAGTTCCGCGCGAAATCGTAGAAGAGGTTGCAAAGATGGGTTTCACTAACTTATTTCATTCTAGGAGCCATAACTACCTCGAGAACAAGTTTTTTCGCAAGAAGGTAAATAGAGTGTATGGTGGTGTCCGTATGAACTGATGATTCTTTTGTATTCGACATGTGCGTGATTTTGAATTCCGAATACAATACGTTCGTTTGTGCTCTTTTAGCTCTACTTGACTTAAAATGAATTATTTCGAGGATAGCTAGTTCGTATAATAACTAAGATACTTTTAATTATCATCATCAAAAATAGATCCCTATGGAAATCTTAGACAAGATTCAAGAAGGAAAAAGTAGACATGAGTTAACAACAAAGACAAAGAAGAAAAGACAATCATGGAGATTCAAGAACTGAAGAACGGATCGGTAGAATACTTCAAGAAACTGTTGACTAAACAAGCTGTATTGAATCCACCAGACATCGAAACAGCACACACAGACCTATCTATAAATGCCACTCCGCCAATGATCCGGGAAATCAGGATGGGCATCAGACAAATTAAGAATGAGAAAGCAGCAGGACCTGACAGTATACCAGCTGAAACACTGAAGTCAGCATCATCGGTGAACAAGGATGATCTGATGCGGATATTGATGTAAGGATTGGCAAAACGAGGGCAGAATTCCTACAGTTGCAGAACATATGGGACTCAAAACAACTGCCAACCAATATCAAGGTCACGATCTTCAATACGAAAGTCAAGCCCAAACTTGGAATCCTGAAGGGAAGAGGAAAAGTGGAATACCTAAGACTACACTGCATAGAGAATTATAAGTGGGCATTTAAAAGATTAATAGCGAATGTAAACGAACGTAAAGTTCTGCTCATAACAGAATTCGATGGCGTGTTCTGATGGCCGCCTACGCTGCGCAGGTAGTAAGTAAGTAACTTTGATATGTACGCGAGTTGGAAGCTAACAGAATGCGTTGTTTCAAAATTATTAAACTTAGGTCTACCCCGGTTATTTATTGTAACTAGCTGTCGTTTAGATAAATCAAGTTTGCAGCGTTGATCTGTCTAGACGGCGAATAGATCTGGAGGTCCGTAAAATGCGAAAAGAATTCGGTTAAGCCCCTAGAGGATCTTGCAACAATAGAAGAATGATGATCAGGTGATTAGTTAGAAACTATCCTGCCGAAATGTAATATCACGAGCATCCTGCTTCATGTGACAAAACGTCTCCGTGGAATTTCCTTCCTCATAGTCTCCCCAGAGCTTATTCTCTTGTTAGCCACCACTGAGAGCTTGGATATCAGCTCAAACTATTCTGCAGATGCAGTAAAAGCAAATGAACAACTTGTTGCAATCACCATACAATTAATATCAAACTCTTCTTAAAACATATGCACAGAATCATTTATTTTTTCGATATTTTCATTCACTCTCTCTCGAAAAGAGACTTAAATCTACTCGTCAAAGAGTAGAGATGGAGATCACAGTAACAGATGGGGCTAAAGAACAAGTCATACCAAGATAAACTTCAATGCTTGGGATTTTCCTGGTGAGAATAAAAGATGGATTGGTAATGGCATAAAACATATAAGTTACACAACGCCATAACCATAATATCACTGCCATGTTTTTCGAAGCGACCTTCTGTAAAAACGCACGTCAAAGAACAAAAGCCTGGTTACTCTCCTAATTTTTTTTATAAGAGGTGCCCTGATTTTTCATAATCTCTCGGTCGAAGCAACAACAGCCTCCTCAGAAGTCAGCTTTACGAGTTGACCTTGTAAACACATACTCAGTCATCGATCACCACCTGCATATTGGACTAGCTGAGTCTGATGCATGTCTCATAATTTGCCACAGTTACCATTTCTGCATATAACTAACTACTTCCTATCTCGCCTCATATCACCTTCGTTTCTTCTTGCAGCCTTACACTTCGATCTTCTCATGCTGTTTGCATTAACTAGTTAAGTCATTTGTTTATGCATTATTAGAAACAGTTGTTCTCTCTTAGCACACTAATATTCTCTTTATCATTTACATTGTAGCCAAATAACTGCATTGTAATGTAGTAGCTGGTTGTATTCAGAAACGCTTGCGTCCCGATTCAGATGCACCCACTTGGGAGAAATAATTATCAATTTCGACGGCTTACAGAAATATATATTTTGAGGATTTACTCACCGATATATACAAACCTACGATTGACGAATTGACTGTAATCAGTATAGTCTAATAGCCAGTCTACTTCTAATTGAGCGTCGCTAAGGATATGGAACCATACTGAAATAACAAAAAACAAGCACAAGCAGGTCAATCTGTTTACACAAGCATGTCACAATGATATTGATAATTGTTTAAGTAAGATACAAAGCACAAGCTATATTATACTTTATTTTCCACAAAGAAAGTACGGGATGACTATCAAAGATCCTAAACTGCCTCTTGACACGAAGGCAATGAAGAGAAGTGATCAATTACTTTACATCAGCTCAATGTACAAATAATATGACTAATTCAAACTTGATAAATTGTCCTCTGTAAACCATCTGCATACTGCTAATAAAAATTATCAGCAATAAATCATAAAACCTTTTGATGGGTGAATCTCTGTAATTCATTCTTTCAAGTGATTTATATAAGTAGATGTTTTGTTTACATTGTTTGTTTAACTTTTTCATTAGTCTGCATAGAGTAAGAGGGAATATGAATAAAGTAATATTTGTATGTTTACTGACGTTTGGACCACTATTGAGTTATTCCGTCGATCCTTCTCGTTTATCTGTCTTCTGGATTGTTTTAGGTATTTTATACTTTGGTCAAAATTGCTTTTAGTTTTGTCCTCTGAGCCCCCTCACAAAGATGAATCTATGATGAATAAAACAGTATGGGAATCTAAGATTTCCGAAGCACTTAAAAGTAGTAAAATATCGTACTCGGAATACTTCGATCCTGTTGAAAATGTAAACAGCTCTGTCGTGGTAGGTTAATAGGCAGAGATTCCGAATTTTTATGAAATCATGTATTTGCAGTTCATAGATATCTATGAACTTTATATGAACTATATAATATTATATAAATTCAGTGTGTACAGTTTTGCTTTTTATTATAGAACGTTAAATAGCTTACACTTATAAATCAGGATGTCGTTAAAAGGCCGTTTGCCATATGAATTTGAACTTATTAAGTTCAGTCACAGATATTTCCATAATTATTTAAATTATATATGGACAGAAAACAATCGAGAGTGATTTTAGAGTCATCGTTGTGTCATACATAAAAGCTATTCGGTAAGAACTTCACATTTATAGCTGCTTACTTTCAATTCATTGATAGAGTGTTTTAATGGTAGTATATGGTAGTACTTTACACGACCAAAACTCTTTCTGAAATGACTCATATCAAAGATTGTAAATAAAGTTGAACATTTTAAACAATCACCTCTAAATGATCAAATGAAGGTCCATTCCCTCCAGAATGCTTATAACTAGTCTCCTGGATAAAAAATTTTCAATGATTCAGATTTTGTAAGTAGAATATTTCTTCCAATAAGAGACACTAATGACGGTGCACTTATAAGTGACTGGGATGTGTCTTGGATTTGTCATAAGTCTTTCACATTTTATAAGGCCTAAAAATCTTTCAAATCTCCACAAATTGAATTTTTCACAATCGCCAAATGAAGGAGGAAAGTGCAACTCTTACTTTACAACTTATAACATGTCTTTTTGGGTATTTAAGTATTAGCGAAGGTTGTAAAATTTAGTGGGTGTATATTACTCATATGCAAATATGAATAGGTTTTCATTGAAGCTGTGAGACGCTGAACAATGTTTTCAACTAATAAACCAATATCAGGTGAGTATTTTTTTTGCTTATCCAGGTGAAATGGTAGGCGATACGCAGATAAATGAGCAAGTAAATGAACCAAAATAAGAATAAAATTCGTTATCCATCGACAAACAAATAAAAGACAAGAAAGTATTTCCAACAATTACAATTAGTTTTGTAAATTATATGTATTACCGTTTCTACACGCTTTGTTGAAATAAAAAATTAATCTGAATATATTTATCTCACTACGATCACTTTCTCAGCAGGCGTATCATATTAATTACAAGATAATAGTCCGTAAAAACTATCTTAAGCTTCCTAATGAGTTCACGTTATTATTGATATTTCAAAAACTGACTACAATGTTTATTATAAATTCGCACAGTATTTTACTTTTTTGATATGGTATCTTGATATTATCCGTATTCGTGAGTACGACGCTCCTGTAAGTAACTGGCAATGAATAGAGAGATTATATTAACTACACGGATTCAATCATTTTTTTATTTTTTGTTTTTATCCCTCTAAATTTTCAAAGGTTGACTACATAGAGAGAGATGAATCTCGATCATATTTGAAGATATTTTTCTACGTACAGAGAAAGAACGTCTTCCAACCTTCTCCTTCTATTGTTTACCAGCTAAATCAAATACCGGGAGACTGGTTAGCAATCTACTTGGGAATGCCAATCATAGAAAGACCTAAAGGTGCCTTTTGTCTTTTTGGTTCCTCATTATATACAGTGTTGTCTGACAAATATTTATTACCATACTACAGAGAGCATGCAGTCAATTTTTATGAATATATGTCTTCAACAAGTCATAACTGCTTCTGAATTACTTGCTTGTCCCCTTAAGTTTAGTTAGTCTAAGAGTTGTAGGTATATTTGATTTTGTGAATTAAATCATTTAACAAATAATCCTCAACCAACAAAGTTTTTATTTTCAATGCATCTATTAGTTAGGACTAACTGGTAAGTGTTTGGTCATAGACTTGATAGGCTTTAAGATCTAAATCATTAACGACTGTTTCACTGACTACGAAGTTTTTATATTATCATCCTGTTCTTATCATACAACTTAAAAGTTATAGTAAGGAACATTGCGAAGACAGATCAGTGTCTTTCGAAATAAAGTTAACAGAATTTAATTAACCTAATTTGTTCTCTGTAATGAAAATATGTTCAAAGATAATTTAATTTTGGTATTCATTATAAATAGAACTATGGTGATGTCTACATCAGCGGGATGGTAACACATCTTTAAGCAGTTGTTTTCAAATGTGCACGACGGTTATTTTAAACTATTTTCATTATGATTTGAGTACATACATCTTATCTTTATTTGTATTACTACACACAATCATTATCAACAACGATATTTGCTCATCTATGACGTTGACTACCATCAGTATCAGAGTAGATATTGCTGTATGATGAACAGCCGAAGAAATACGTTTCCTTAACCAGTAGTTTATGTGTAAACATTTTGTCAATGTAATCCCTACTATCTTTGATAATTCTGGAAAAACGTCATAGGTGTTCACACTACTTTAATTCATTTACGTTTGACTGACAAACGAAAAGTGATAAAGTAGTGATCATTTTCGATCACTAAATTGGTAAATTCTGTTCAACTAAGAAACATAAATTTATCAGAACACCCTTTTCACCAAACACTGTTGTTTTATGAAAACTTATGTGATATATAAACATATTTGTATACGAGCAACAGGGTAAAAAAATAAAACAAAAAAATACGGACAATAAAACGATTGTTCCTTACAGAGTGAGAGAATAGCAACAGTAAAAATCTTATCTAGTAAGAGCATCTACAAAAACGTAGTAATCGAACGGCTTGCGTGAACAAGATGATAACTTTGCTAAAAGATTAACATTTTTGGCAAAACTAATGAAAACGAGGATTTAATGAAGAACCGTATCAAAGCAGGATACAAAATACGTTTAGTAATTCTTAATATTCTAACACACTTGAATAGATGAACCTTTGTAACACAATTTGCGTTTAAAACAGTCAACTGTTATACTGGAACTAAATGTTTGCTGAACTTAGTGATGTCATTTTTTTAAGCAATCTGTTAATCGGTAAAGTAATCGGTTAAAAATTAACGTTTGCCATAGCGAAAACACTATATAAAATTTCCTTCTCATAATTTACTATTTCACCAGTTTACGATATAGGCGCTTATGAGAAAGAAGATGATTTTATATGGATAATTGGAATAGTTGCAATTTGTTTTCTTGGAATATTGCTGATTTGTTGGTGCTTCATATTTCTATACACATTTTTCCTACAAGCTACTGCTATGGCTAACTGGTTACCGAGACCGATGATTAGCAATTCTAAACAAATATTTTACAAAACAGAGAAATCACAAGTACGTTTTCGTTAAATCAGGCTTCACAAAATTGTTTTATTTTTTACACTATAATTTATTTCAGTTAATCCAATCTCATACTACATATTTTTTAAGTTTGTATCTCTCCTTGTGTACTTTCCAGTAGGGTCATACAACTTAAAGTCTGTCATACTTTTTTCTTCAAAAACGTTTGTCTGCCAGATTTGGGATCCATAAACTTTCTAAAGATTTCAGGTATGTCATATTGCGAAATTCTACCGAGTATCGTGTTTATGTCAAAATAATCTGTGTTAACCATCTTGAGGTATTCAACACAATATTCAAGTAGATCTTATTAAAAACCACTAGACTACACTACAGTTAAGTAATGCGTTTGTTGTAAGTTAATCTTAATAGAGGTTCCCTGGTGTTTCACATCTATATTTTTATTTGATAGCATTACTATGATAGGCTACATACAATTTATAAAAACATTTAATCCTCTTTATTACTATTAACTACAGTGCATAATGACAATCACACTAGTCTCTTCTCTCGTATTCAGCTATTTGTTTTCGAACTCAAGCCTATTACACGTGATGATATATCTTGAATGTAAATGGGCTTTTCTGCTTGTCTTGCTAAATAATATCAGTGACAGTCTCTTCCTTTTAAATTTTATTCAGAGATTTAGTTGTTACATTGGTATGCAGTATTTGTTAACGTCAATAGTTTTGACAATAAATGTAAAAATTCAATAAGTTTCATTTTTGTTTATTTTTGATGCCGATCATTTATAGAGAGAATTTAAAGAAAAGAAAGACTCACAAGTACAAACCGAAGATCAGGAATTTTCACAACCAAAAACAAGCAAAGCTGAAAAATCGCTTCAAAATAAATCAGTATGGTAATTCAGCCTTTTATTCTTCTAAAGTTTGTATAGATCCATTTCAAAAGTCGTTGATGTTTACTTAATATATCCAAAGATAATCATAGTAAGATGGAATAAAATAACACTGTTTAATATGACGTTTTTATCCACTTCAATTCAGTTAGATACAAAGGTTTTTTGTGAACAGATTTTTCATTCTAAACGAAGTTTATTCCTTATTTATAATTTATATTGTATGCTCATTCAAAATATCATTATAATGCAGCTAATATGTCCTCCATTTGACCATAAAGAAGTTTGAATGCATTTAAATGGTAATCATTACAGTGATTTAGAAAATAAAATAGGTTCCTGAAAAACATCTTCAGATACGTCATACTACAATGTTGTTTTAGTTTTAATGATTCCTGTTAATTTAATTCCTTTTACCTCACTCCATGTTTTTATTTTTAAGTGATAGAACAATGTTGGATTCCGACTTATCGGGTAAACACACTTTTGTTCTAATTATCTCCTTCTTAAAGAAGCTCGACTTTCAACAGTTTCAGAAATAAGTTTAGAAGAATCAGTTAACCCAACTGTAAGTGAATTAAATGAATCTGTTGTTCCCCTATCTGAAACACAAGTTCTATTACCAGATGAAGAAGGTAAATATTCTTTTATGAATATTTTTTTATCAATTCACAATTAGATGGTATTATAAATCAACAATTAAATGGAATCAAAGTGAATACGAAGTATGTCACGAATTCATTCAAAATTCATATCTTTATTCAACTAGGAATTTAAAGAATGAAGTGATTGAAGAAAATGAAGGTGGTAAGTAGTATTATAAACAAACGGTCTTGCAAATAAATTAGTTATCTTGATCATATATGGAACTATTACAACTATATGTAAACTATGCCTAAGAGTTGAAACTTAAGAAAGATCTACCTGATGTCATTGACTTCAATATTTTGCTCGATTTTTCATTCTTTATTATAGGATATCAAACCAAAACATTTCAAAATGTAATCGTTTAAAAAACATTATTGTACATCAAGAAGTATTTAAAAGAGAACTTTTCTGCACAAAACGTTTCGTACTTTTAACTTATTTATTTGAAAATAACCTCATTTACTCAAAAGGCGTGTTATTTGGGTTACGTGGTTATGGGTTCCAAGTAGGTCGAAACTGTTGGTTCCCCAGTCAATGTTAGTTCGTGAAAAAAACTACTTTCACAGTTATATTTCGTTGAAATGTTTAGCATAGTTTTCCCTGAATTTTGAAACACCACATCAAATTTTTCCTTTTTGTATATGGTCATTTTTACTTTGATGTATTAAAATTAGCTACTGTTTCCCTTTAAAGATTTGCTACAGGCATCTGAAATTGATAAAACGCTTACTTTTGGATCGTTCGATAATGTAATACCTTTTGTGATGTCTGTTCCACCACGTCCAGAAGCGATAAAATTAGCGAATTTATTAAACTCTCAAAAAGTAGGTTTAGCAGTTAAACAACCGAAGTTTTTCCTAATCTCTATGTACGTAAAATTTCCAGTCTTTGTCATAATGTCACAGTGCATTTCTAAAATTTTCAAACGGATATTACATCAAAAACGCTGGTAAAAAAGTTTATGGACAAACATTTTCAAGACAGACGAATATTTATGACAGATATACGAAAATACATTTTTTTTACAAAATTACTAAGATTCTTCATAAGATATGAGACTCGAAGCAAACGATTACATAATCCATGATTGCTGTTGTTTGATAAGTGTAAGTCTTCAAACTGATTTTACATGGTATATATCTTGAGTGACACAATCTATCGAAAATGATATTCATTCTTTAAATATCAGTCAGTCAGCAGCAACGTAGAACTTCTTACGTACGTCCATCTGTTCAAGTTGCCATACCACATTAGCAAAAAGGTATAATTATCGATTCAAATCATATAGTGGTATAGGTAGTAAAAGTATTATCAGTAATCGGAAAGATTAGTGTATGAAGATGTTATTCAAAGAGTATAATCCAAAGAAATAAATTTGGAAATAGAAAAAAGATAGTGACATGAAGAATTCAGAAGATTAGAATTTGAGAGAACACAAAGAGTGGATGCACCTTCGCCATTGCAAACGGTCTCCAGCCATGTCATTCAAGGTCTTTAACCATCAATTACTATTGTCTAGCGGAAACCAACCAGGTAGTCTACACCTATCAACATGGCTCAGTCCATTTGCCAGTGACTTCATGGATTTATGCCACGTTATGTCTGGCCGCCCATAGCTTTCTTCCAACGTACACCTACACCATAAAACATCGCACGTGGGGGTGATCGGGTGTTTGGCATACGTAACACATGTACCAGCCATCTCAACTGATGAAGTTTCACTACTTCGTCAATCTATTTGCCATCCTTACCTAGTACCCGTTTCCTAACAACTGCATTACTTACTCGGTGGTCCCAGGATATACGAGCAATGCTTCGAAGACAATTATGATCGAAAACTAGTAGCCTACGAATATCCTCTACTCTTATCGGCCATGTTTCACTGCCATAAAGTAGGACGGAACGAACTGCCTGCTCAGTGAACCCATCCTTTGGTTGGTAGACGGATATCTCGCCTACGCCATAAATGATGCAAGTAAGCAAAAAACTAGTCGGCGGTCAGAAGACTCTTCATTTTGTCATCAGAATATTCTAAGTCAAGAAGTGAATCTCCCAGTAAAAATTCAACTCCTGTAATTTTAGGTGAGGAAAGTGTTATCTCTAAAAGCACGTTAATGACAAAGTTAAACAAGAATGGAGAGAGTGGACAGCTTTGAGTACTTCCGTCTATTTGGATATTGTTCATTTTAGTAATGTTAATAAAATTGTATATATTTCATATATTAATCATTACAATTGACTAAATATGACGTGGTATTCATTAAAAGTTTATTGAAAAAATAATTCACTTTTAAAATTAGAATTTAAGACTAACAAACGCTCATTACTTCAAAACGAATGAAGACAATACTCAATGTACATGTGATTATATGATAAATACGGTTTATTGTTATAAGACAAAATTATCAGTTTAATCTCTTTAAACTTGTGTGTTAATACAATTTGACCAATAAAAATTAGAGACTATCATAAATCATTCTTATATTATTGCCTTCTATTTCATTATTCACCAATCACTATCTTTATATTAATTCCATTAGTGTAATATGGTAATAGTGTAATAAGAAGACGAAGATTATCAGAACTATGTCATATATTAGCGCAATACATTTAGAACAATCTGATCACACATCATATACTTGTTAGGAACATTTATATATAAGAAATGAAAGGTCAACTAGACTGGAAATGGGGGTAAGAATAGAATCAAACGACCCGATAAGAGTAGATAGGGGATAAACATCCATCATCCTCTATTGTCAAACATATAATCGAATCAGGCCATAATATTGATCTTAACTTTGATAATCTTCGTTTTCTTATTACACTATCGAAATTTATCAAAGGGACTTATTGCTTTAAATATGGTAATAATTGAAAACGTGAAACATATTCTAATTGGCGGCCTGTTTAAACATCTGGGCTACCTGTTCTTGTCATCTAAATATTTCAACAACTTATCTGATTTCGTTTGTTTTAATACATCATTATGGCTATTAATCGCACAACCTATTTAGGTGCGTTTCTGAAAAGTGTAAAACCTTTCGCTGTAAAGGTTATAGAAGGCCTAATCAGAGATATCGTGGTTGCTGACAATATGCAGCAAGAAGAGTGTACATTACTCAAATGTCGATTGCCTAAGCTCCTAACTTCTTCACTCAATCTTAGTCGTCAGGAAGGACGAAGAAGTAAGAAACGGAAACTTGTTGAAATACTTTGTGCTGAGAATTCTATATTGTACCAAAAATATAATATTGAAAAAAACTAATAATAATAAATAATTATATGAATTCATTCTATTTACAAAATTTCAATCCTATGCAGAACATTTTATTGAATTCATTCAAACAATAATATAATCTTCATTATTTTCTTTCATTTTGATTTATTTAACAGATAACAGAAACGTAGATGGATCAAACTTGCTTTTTGTATTATTCAATCAGAAATTGAAATGGATCTAAATGTCATCATGATACCAATAAATAGGATCTTATTTATGATGAAAAACAAACATTCATGTTATTTCTCAATCTTTTTTTTTGAAAAAAATTGTGTTTTTATGAATAAAACGATAAACGTTTACGGTATTTTACTCCTTAAGATAAATTAGATTTGATTGATAGTTGAAGAAGTGAGTTTTCCTTTTTCATTCTGTCAAGGTTTATAGGTTGAATTATTGGGAGGGCGAAAGAGAGAGAGAAAGAGAGGGAAAGAAAAGCGTAATCTTAAAATTTTGTAGATATGTTTTCTTAATAACATGTTTTTAATAGATGTAGTATAAAAGTAAGACATTTTTATAACATATAGGATGACCATCCTCAGTCTTTGTTTTCAGGATTGTACATATTTAATGAACCACGAATCTCATATTTGTTCAATCGTAATCTGCAAGCTACTAGAAACTCAGCTTTTAAAGGCTACAAAGGACTGCGAATTCATGCGCATGTATTTTCTTGAATTATATACAGGTAAAGTGTGTAATTATGTACAACGTGTTTATCACTTGATACAAAGATCGCAGATTCACTATGTTTACTCATATACTTTGGATCGTATTCTTATTGTTATTATTTTAATTATGTTTCAAATTACTTACGACTGCTACTCCTCTTGGAACAAAGACAGTCGATCAGGTTCCTTCAGCAAACTCTTTCCTGGGTAATCTTTCACAGTTGTTTCCGAATGCTATTCGTTCTTTTGATATCTGCCTCCGATTCCAGATGCAATGTGTTTTTTAATCTTCTTTTGGTTTTCCCTTCAAAAATAAAGCTTGACTCGTCACACAATCTGACGATTTCCGCAATGTATTTCCTATCTATCTCCAACCCCTTTTCCTAATTTCCTCTTCAGCTGCGAGTTGGTTTGTTCCCTCCCATAGTAGGTTGTTGCTGTTGCTGTCTGGTCAATGGTCATGGATTATCTTGCGTAAACAATTGTTTAGAAATACTTGCATTTTTTGATGATGGTTGTAGTACTTCTCCAAGTCTCAGCTTCGTACAGTAGAACTGTCCTGGCATTTCTATTGAAATTTTTGAATATGATATTGGTTGACAGTTGTTTTGAATTTTATATTTTCTTCTTTTGTAAGAATTCTGTCCAGCTTTTGTCAATCCGTACCTTAAGATGCGTATCTAAACATCAAAAACTGAAATATATTAGCACATATGTTATTAATTATATTAATAATTCTAATTTTAGGTTATGTGCAACTGATGAGAATCCGTAAAATAGAATGAATTCTTTTTATTCAACAAACCACTTTGTACTTGCTCTGTTCAAATTTCCCAAGGAATTCGGCTGTATGAAATGCCATTAACTTTTAAAAAGTAGATAGAGAAAATTAAATTTGGAAAATATGTCGAGATCATAGTTGTCTAAGGTATAGCCACTTGTTTGTGCAATGAGGTGAAATTTAAATTCACTTGGTATTGTTTGTTTGAATCTTCCCATTGATGTTTAGGACTGCAATTGATCAGTCTCTTATTGGCATATGTGCATACTGTGTGTATTGTCTCGATATAGCCTTAATTTACAAGCACTGTAAGCAAAGATGGATAGTGGCTGGCAGTAGAATCCAGGACGAGCGCTTCGTTCATCTTCGTTTATATTGCTTGTGAATTAAGGCTATATTGAGGCAATACACACAGTATACACATATGCCAATAAGAAACTGACCAGTTGCAGTCCTAAACATCAATGGGAAGATTCAAACAAACAATACTGAGTGGATTTAAAACACTCTATTGTTTTAGATATGACTAGGAGATTGTACCGCTTTCAATTTGGTATATAAAGGTAATCAAGTTAAGATTTATTCAAACATTTAATTCAGGGTCAAAGCTACAATAAATTACAAATTGTGAAATTTAGAGATATTTTACATGTGTACCAAAATCTGTCTAAGATATGTTCGTCAAATGAAAACTTGAACTCGTAGACTTAGACAAACCCAGTCTACTATAGAAGACTATAACTGAAGAAGGATATGGAACTACTAATAAATGCTTTCTTAAAAAGTTATAGACATGAGATCTTATAAAGGTTTGAATTTAGTTTAACATTACATTGGAAGATAATGGAATACATTATCATAAATCTACCTTGATTATAGTCTTTCCTAAATGTAGGCTCAATTCGAAAGATAAACGTAAATTCAACTGGACATTATAAAACAATTCACCTTAGAAGATAATTGGCTTTAAAACAGAAAGATATCGAGTGGTAGAAAATTAATGGAAGTGTGTATCATCAAAAAATATTTCAGCTAATTATCTGTGAATAATTCAAAATATAAATATGACTACTATCGAATCTCCTCATGTACTGTTTTCCTGATTTATTTATCTCAATCAAAATGTTACAATGAAGTAGAAAACACTATAACAATATATTCTAGCTTAAATGTGTCAATCTTTAAGCCATAGTTTACCTTATTTATGAATATGTACAATATAGTTCAAGCGCCTCAAAACTTAGACAAAAGAAAATCACCAATCTTTTACGTAACGTTCAAAGACTCTGGAAACTTTGATTTTACAAGATATGATAGGCAGACAGAAAAGAAGTATTGTTTAAAAGAAATATGTCTTTTTCAAGCGAATACCTTTTTCCAATTTTACTCTGCCGACGTGTTTACTCTTAAATGAAACTGGTCAAAAAGTACATATATCACCATAGTCCTCGAAAAGAAATCTTTTTTGATATATATTTCCAAAAAGCTATGAGATAAAACAAATGTTGATAAAAATCAATTATAACTAGCTAACGATAGCAGTCATCATATTATATTTGGAATAGTGGATTTTAAAAGTAATAATTACAAACATAAATTGAGAAACCTACACTTACCGGTATGTTTGATGAGAACTCAGGTGCAATGTTTTATAGGATCTTTTAGTTCATGGTTGTTGCTCCTAGCAAACTCTACAGATGTTTTCTATACATTATATGTATCACGAACACTACTTTGCTCATTAGTACATAGGTTAAGCTCTGGATACGAGAGCCAAGAGGTGTTGTGTTTCTTCTGTAGGGAAGTTGTGGATGCACGATAATGAGGAGTTCCATAGAGGAAGGAAACAAGTGTCCAGATATTTCTCGTTTACGATGGTTGTCTGATTAATACTAATACTTAAATCCCGATGCATGATATATAGCATGTGTGGAAACTGAGTTTTTGTAAGTTAACTCAAACTATGTAGCAAAATAAATTAAGTTCAAACTTGGCTATTATGAGTCTCTGATATAATTCATTATGCTTACACAGCTTAATGATTAAATTAAATTTCATGTAGTCTTAGAAATTAAAACAATTTGAGAATATAATTACACTACTAACAAACTTTAAGTAACCTAAAATCACATCAAAAATGTAAGGAATGTGTGAACAATTTGAATTATTATTATTATTATTATTGGCTTTATTCTATATTATAATCTGGTACAATAAAGAATTCTCAGCACGAGTTATTTCAACAAGTTTTTCCCAAAAAATAAAACCAAAAAAAAAAACAAAAAACAGAAATAAAATATAAAAAAGGTTTAAGAAAATCTGAGTTTATACAAATTATCGAATATGAGACATGTTTAAGAAGACAGGTTATTTACTAGGTCAACTCTAACAGCCTGTTCGTCACAAAGTAAATTAGCTAAGTAAGGTATTACAGAACTTTTATAGATTTGCTTGCGTGCATGAATTTTAATGTATTTACGTCTCGTTCTACCAGAAGATATACAAGGAGAAAGATATGAATGAAGCGGATGGTTAGTATCTGGTAAGATAACACCTGCAAAGAGTTTGCAAGACTTAAGATGTCTATCCACAAGCATATTAACAATGACTTCAAAAGATTCACCACATACCTTGCAAACTGCCTTCAGCACTCTACGCAAAATAGCAAAGTCTTTTCTCAAAAGCCCAGGAAAGAATAATGGAGAACAATATAAAATAATAGGTAATATGCAGGAATTTACAAATTGTAAGAGTAAATGGCGAGTAATCCCAAAAGCATGCAGCTTCTTTATGTAGTATGTCAAACGGTAAACTTTTTTCGATAAGAGTAAAACATGTGAAGACCAAGAAAGATCAGAGGAAAAAAGGACACCAAGATATTTGACCTTCGACACTGTGTTTATTAAGGAGTCTCCAATGGCACAAGCATTATGGGATCCGAAAATAGAGCGTAGGTTCTGTCCATGTCTCAAGCTAAAATTAACAGCTTGACATTTAGATGGATTGAGTAAGAGACCATTACCAACAGACCATCTTTCAATACGAGATAAAAACTCATTCATTTCTATAGGATGTAAGGAGGTAGAAATTGGCATACATACGGTGAGGTCGTCCGCATATTTTACAAGTGTTTTCTGTGGAAGATGGCAGATCATGCAAAAAGAAAGAGAAGAGTAGAGGTGAAAGAACAGCTCCTTGTGGCACACCTACAGTAGACAGTAGAGATGTTGAACACTTTCCTTCAAAGACAGTGTACTGTTCTCTTCCAGAAAGGTAGGAACATAGCCAATTGGTTATCCAGCTGTCAGTATCGACGCTGATCAGCTTGTTAAGTAAGATGTGTCTTGGAATAGAATCAAAGGCAGAAGTAAAGTCCAGGAAAGCGCATCTAACATACTTCTTACCCTTTTCCAAGCCGAACACTATATTGTGATGCAGAACAGCAACGGCATCTAATGTGCTTCTTTTGCATTTGTAAACAAACTGATATGGATCACAGTGCTCTTTTATTACAGGTTGAAGTGGTTGTATCAGTAATTTTTCCATTATTTTGAGGAAAGGTGAGGTTATTGTTATGGGTCTAAGTTTCGCATTTTTATCACCAGAAGCCTTCTTAGGTATAGGGATTACCTTTATCTTTCTCCACATTTTCGGTAAGACATTAGTTGAGAAGGATCTGTTAAAGATATTCATTAATGGATAACATAAAACATCGGCACATTTTTTAAAAAGGAGGTTTGGGATACCATCAGGTCCTAAACATTGCGATGAATTCAGAGACTGGAGACATTTCCGGACATCATTTTCAGTGAAACTGGGGACACAATTATTCTTCAAACCCTTGGATATAGGGAGCATGATGTCAGATGACTGTTGAATAAAGGACTTATTTAAGTCACAAACATTTAGCTGGTTATCGCTTCTAGTCTGCCTGTCCCCTGTAATTTCTTTAAAGAGTTTCCACATACTTGGAGAGCTTCTACAAGATAGGAGTTTTTGAGTGAACACACAGTTGAGACGTCTAATCTCTTGGTTTATTTGATCATTTAACTTACGAACTTCAATAGTGTTTTTCTCCTTGTACATCCTTTCTTTTACCCTCCGTAGTCGTTTTAGTTGTGGAGATGTAAGCCGATCAAAACTTAAAAAGAAGGTTTCGGTAGGACAGCAAATATCAAAACAGAATTTAAGATAAGAGGTGATAACATCCGTTGTGTTTTCTATTGAATCATCTGTAAATAATTCCCAGTTGGTCGTACGAAACATGTTTTTTAGATTTTGT